GTAACGACGAGCCAATGTTCTATTATATTTTACGAACACGAGATCATTGAGTTTCTTTAGCTCAAGCCTGTTCCTCTTCTTAGTATGAATCTGCATAATAAGATGTAGAAAGTAACTAAGAGGAGTACTTAGGACAATTGAGATAAACTTTAATTTAGTAATAATGTAATATAGCTTCTCACATGTTCATAAACACTCCAATTTTTCTCGCATCCGGATGAGCTACAAGTTAAGCTTTGAACTCTAATAGCAAATTGTTGCAAGTTTGGAACTTCATAACCAAATTGCATCCACCATTCAACTGTAGAAGTATTATTTTAGAAGTTAATAACTTGAAAGTTAAAGCTCTAAAGAGGAAAACAATTGAAAAAAGTTGCTCACCTGGTGCCAATTTGGTTCTGCCTCTTATGGCCGAAGCTAATCCAAGAATTCCATCGGCTTGCATATAAACACCAAGCTCTTGCCCTATTTTGTCTTGCATCGCTTCATCTGGCACCAACTTCGCAACACATGCATGATACCCCTTCCAAACGTTTAAATCTAAAGTCTTGTTCTCATTGTTTGTGTAAAACAATTCGGGGTTCAAAATATATGCCCTGCTGCATGTAAAGGTTGATGAAGCTGATCATCCCACCTTTTATCAATGATTTGAAACACTCTCTCATATTTCCTCCTATCATGATCAAATGCATTCTCAATAGCTTCTTTAGCCCTATCCATGGCTTCATTATCCCATTGGTGGTTTTTTCTCCTCATCCACCATACGAAGTACAGTAACCAAAGGATTACCAACTTTAAGTGCTTTAACAGTGTCATTCCAAAAAGTAGGACTAATAGCAAATCTCGCAACTTCTTTCCCAAGAGCTTCCTTTGGATAGATACTCTCACTCCATTGGGCTGACAAGAACATGGTTCGCAAATTTTGCTTTTGCAGGTAAAAGCTATGCAAGGTCAAGAGAGCTGTTGCGAATCTTGTCTTAGCCGGTTTCACCAAATTTCTTTTTTTTGTGTATCTCCTCATCATGTTCAACAACGGCCTTTGACTAATGTAAGAATGTATCTTGATCGCCTTAGCAAAAACCGTAGGAAGTCAAATTTCATAGTTAATAAGTATAAGCAATTAACATGAAGGTTAAAAACTTAAAATAGAAAATAAGAACCGCTTGTTCACCTGTAGAATATGGGGCTAACTTGAAATTGTCACCAAACATCAAGTTGATACAATGTGCAGCACAAGGAGTCCAATAAATATTTGGGAAAACTCCTTTCAACATGTCACCCGCTTTTTTATTCTCACTTGCGTTATCAGTGACAACTTGAACCACATTTTCCGGTCCAACTTTCAATATTGTCTTCTCAAACAAGTTGAACATTTTATTGGAATTGGTTGAGGAGTCACTAGCATCATAAGATTCAAGAAACACACTACCTCTCGGAGAATTCACCAAAACATTAATGACCATTTTCTATTTTTTGCAGTCCATTTGTCCATCATAATGGCACGACCATAAATTCTGTATTTTCATATTAATTTTTCAAATGATATGTAGTTTTGTTGTAGATTAAATGTAGAAAATAAGCCATTGTGAGTCTTATTTGACTCATTCCTCACATTCAACCTATTCTACAAATTCACGCCTCTTTAAATACAATAAACCATACTTTCTTGAATTTAAAGTTTTAGCAATATATATAACTTAAAAAACATCTTCTCCTCTGCACAAGTTAGCTCCAAAACAGACGAAGTGGAATAACTAGCTCCCATCAAAACTTTTAACACAAAAACACAAAGCTAAATAAATAAACAACAGTCTACAATTTTTCTATAATTTATCCTCTTATTTGACATCATCCTCAATCACAGCCTCCATTATCGACCATCACCACCCACTATCCCCACCACTCCGACCACCATCATTCTCACCCACAATCAGCGCCCATCCGCCTCAACTACCACAACTGACCACCCCATCACCATCAAAAATCACAGTCGGCACTGCCATCATTATAACCTACCACCACCCACCCACCACCTTCCTCAATAACAACTACTACCACCACCCACCACTACCATCCTCAATCATAATCGCCACCACTACCAATCACTACTAGCTACTAGCATGAACCACCATCATCAACCAAAACTACCACCAACCACCGCCTCTAGTCGGCATTCACCTGTTAGCCATCACCACCAACAACTGTCGTATTTTAAAAAACTATATATTTTATTGATAGAATATTAGATTAGTTAGTATTTCATTTGAATTTTATGTTTAATAATTTTCAAATAAAGATAAATTTTATACATTCAGATGTTAAAAATCAAACAGTCTTAATTATTTCTATTCAGATCTTAATACACATCTTGATAATCAGATGTGTATTCAAATGCAGACGTCTTAATCTTAAAAAAACAAATGAGGCCTAAGAGAGTAAGGGACTTGAGTTTAGTCTTATTGGGCTAGAAATACAAACTTAAAATTTTGGGCTGGGCTAGGGCAGTGTAGGACTAGGATAGGAATTAGGAAGCAAATGAAATACTTTAAAATTTTGGTATTTCGGTATACCGAAATATCAAAATCTTAATACCGAGGACCGTACCGTTATACCGAAAATTTAATACCGAATTATACCTAAAAAATCAAAATACTGAATTAATTCGGTCCGGTACGGAATTCGATTTTTTGGATTTTATGCGCACCCCTAAGTTTAGGGGGAAACTTATGTATTTTGCCTTGTTGTAAATATTACATTTATCAAACAATAATTCATAAAAAAAATTTAAGACAACTCTTTTTCCTCACTTATCATCAATTATGGCTTGTAAACATATTAAGTTAGTAAATTCATGCACTACTCATGAAATGAAAAAAAAGTTAATGATATAGTTTTAATGATCGTGGTGTCCAGGCCAGCTTACACGCATCTCGACTAATCCACGGTGTACCTGCTACCTCCTACCAGCACTTGTGTCGTGCGACTTTGTCCACCAATGCGTGGATGGATGGAAGAGATCACATATTGTTTTTGCCTCTCTGGGATTTGAACCTGAGACCTGGGATTTGAACCTGAGGCCTCATGGTTCTCAAACCATTTCATTGACCGCTAGACACACCCTTGGGTGTAAAAACAAGTTAATGATATTAACAACAATCATTACACATCTTTTATATTTTGGATCATAAATAATCTTTCTTAACAACATGCATTCATATAATCCATAATATAAAATGCATAATAATTATATTTTCTGATAAAGTAACATTCATGTTATTCATAAAATCCCCACTAAGTATAAGATACATGATATTAGTCTAATTCAACTGCCTACCGACATAATGGTCAATAAAAGAGATTTGCGTTCTTCCATAGAGACCCAATTAGTGTTTGGCACAGGACTGCATGTTGACAAATAATATATAAGTTTTTGGGATAATACTTAGTTTCAAATCGATCTCCTTTACAATTTGTCACATCTCTCTCTCTAGAATGGGTGACAATAGTTGAAAGGCAATTATTCACATTGGCTAAATGATCCATCCAACCTCTCAACAGGGCAGTCATATCTTCAAGATGATCTTGTTTAGGATTTTTACTCCTGTCTCTGGATAGGAACTCAAGTTAGATGTTTCAAGAGTTAGTTGATCTTGCTCAAATGACCCATATTCCTCAGCATTTTCCAAAGAGCTAGTATTCACAGGAATCATTTAAGCTACCTCATTAATTGTCAATGAGCTAAGATGAAATGGTTTTTATGTATGCCGCCTCTTTGAAAATTGCTGAGGAACATAGACAATTTGAGCAAAATTAGCCAACTTCCGATGCACCTAAGTTGAATGCTTTTTCAGAGGCATTGACTTCTAATATTAGTAAAAAAAGTCTAAACAATATTATTTTGAAGGCATGGTGCCTTGTTGAGAGGTGAGAGAATCATTATTAGTTGCCTTTTAATGATGTCATCTAGTCTATAATGAAACATGGCAAATGAATTTGGAACTGAGTATGGTCCTTTACGTTTATATATTATTTGTTAATATGCAAACTTATGCTGAACTATGATGGGATATCCTTGGAAGAACGTAAATCTTTATTGGTTATAATATAGGCTGCCAATTGAATTAGACTTATATATTTTTCTTATGCCTATTGAGGGTTTTATGGACAATATGATTATTATATTATTAGAGAACATTATCTTATGAATTATGTGAATGCAAGTTGTTAAGAAAACATTACTTATGAGTTATGATCCTAATTCAACATTACTTATGAGCTATGATCGTATTTAGAAGCAAACCTATTTGGTCTAGTGAGATCCAATAATGTGCACTATTCATCAATGAATTTTCCGCTTGGCATTAGCCTTACCGTGGTCTCTATTCTGCCTCGACAGCCATATGGCCTTGTTGCCCCTACCACCTTTTTATTAAGAGTAAATGGAAAGTATTTCCAAGCATCTGATCCCTCCAATTCTTCCCCGACACGGTTGATTGCTAGAATCTAATTGAACTACTGTCTACCTAGTCGTCTTAAGAGCCTTGACAATCACTAACATATAGAATTCAACAGTGATCATGAATCTTGTAGCCAGAAAGGCTCGAGCAAGGTCCTCACTTTCAGTAGCTTTATCTCAGTCCAGGAGAAACCTCTAGTTACCAGAACGGCAAAACTCTAGTTACCAGAATGCACAGGAACTTGTGTCTGAACAATAGAAGAATGCTTCTCCCTGTGCTCAATATTGGTCCAAACTTGTTCATACACGAAAAGCTTTATTCTGTTTTCTGGATGTTTCATAGCAGGGCCCACCTTGTAAAGATCTAAACATTTTATCTACTTCCGAGGCTGCTATTACTTGGGATCCTCGTGAGTGATATGGGATCTAGAAGTCATTTTGCAAATGCTTTTCACAAAATAATGGGTCCCTCGTGATCGTGACTAATCAAACAACCTTTACTTTGGGACATTGCTTCATTAAAGAGGTGATTTTTCTGTTGCAGGGTTTTCGTGGGAACTGTGAGTGAGTTCTGTGTTAAGCATGCCGAATGTCCTGTTGTCACAATTAAGCGCAGTGCAGCTGAGACTCCTCAGGACCCTATAGATGACTAATTCATTTGGTGTATTTGTTAGTGCTTAATGTTCATTGATGCATATTGGATGTCGACTTGTGTTGTAGATAGATTTTGCAGATTTTCATTCTGGTTATATAGCTATGTCTGCTGTGTTGTGTTGTGGGTTTCGTGATTGCACATGATTGTTGTTTGCATGTGTAGTAACAATGTCCCGTGTACATGTGTCTGAGCTTTGAGTACTTCTGGGCCTGCGTGTGCTCTTTAGTAATATGTTGGTTTTGGAGAAGGTTTTCGCTTGGCGTCGGTCATTTTGTACATACATCTTATGATGAATGTGTGTTGCCTATATATCCGTACATTTGGTTTAAAGGGCAGCCCAGTGCATGAGCATTTCACATTCACGCTAGGTCCGTGGAAATGCCGCATCCCAAGGGGGTGGTGTAGACAACCTACCCTAATGCAAGCATTAGTGGCTGCTTGGCTCGAACTTGTAACCTATACATCATACGGAGATAACTTTACCGTTGCTCCATGGTTCCTCCTTATCTGTACGTATGGTTTGGTTAACCATATTACACTTCGGGAGAAAAAAAATTAAGATTTTAAGTATTTTTTTGTTTGGTTTCAAATGAGGATCGAAGAGCGTGTGAAAAGGTATTTAACAAAGGTCCCTATTGTAATGGACAATCTCTAATATTATTATATGCATAATCAATCTATTATTTATATACAAATAAAATAAAAAAAGCACAACTAGAATGGTAGAATCAGCCCGCATGAGACTTACGCAGCTCAACAAATAACAATAGCGTCTCATTGTGTATAGCTTTTCACAAAATTCGAAGTCCTCCACAGCTTGGTTCCCTAAATAATTGAACATGAGAAAGTAAGTCAGCCGGACAATAATAATAACGTCTGATCAGACATAAAGGAAATTTTGTGCTACTACTAGTTTGCAGGAGAAACATCCAGCATTCTTCTGAGTGTGTGCATATTTCTCAAATATATAATTACAAATTATGAAATTAATGTTTGTTTTATAATTTTGTTAATTATATAATTTTTAACTTGAAATAGAGAAGTAGAAGTTGAAAAACATGTATGAAGAGTATTTCAAGTGAAATAATGGTTCATTCACATAGATTTATTTTTTTCTTTTTACTAAATAAAATTCATGTTTAAACACGAATACTTTCAAATGTGCTTTAGTAATTTTAACTCTAATACTCATTTTTTCAACTTCAATCAAAATGAACTCAAACTATATATATATATATATATATATATATATATATATATATATATATATATATATATATATATATATATATATATATATATATTACTAAAGCAAGAGAGTGCATGTAAATATCTCTACGGCTTATGTCTTGTTGATTCATCCTCTGACCACGAGGTTGAAAGTAGTTCAAACATATAGTTTGTTTGGTCAATTTTTTCATTTTTTTTTTAATTAACGCTGAAAGTGTTTTTTCATAAATTTAAGGTGTTTGACCAAACTTTAAAAAAAAAGTACTTCAGAATAAAAGCTGAAACTGTTTTTGAGAAGCTGAAAAAGTAGCTTCTCCCCAAAATAAATATTTTTTTGGAAAGATAATTTTGAAAAAAATATACTTATTAGAAGCACTTTTTAAAAGTTAATCAAATACTAATTGATGCTAAAAAGTATTTCAAATTAGTTAGCGAAACACAAATTGTTTCTCATCTAAAGTATCTTTTTGAAAAGCACTTATGAGAAAAATACTTTTCAAATAAGTTAATTTTAGAAGTTGGAGAAACATGCAAGTAATAACCAAAGAGACACCATTTGTCTTTCAAATCTAGTTATTGGTCTCTTTGTGGAGTTTAAAAAAAAAAGGATAAAGAAAATTTTAAAATTAAAATTATTTTCAAATATATAACATATTGTTCTTGTTGAGACAAAAGTAGAGTATCACCGAGGAGCATTTACTAGTACGAATTAATGCTCTCGTCTCGAATTCTCGCAAAGTTGCAAAAACACATGCAAACAAGTTGAGATGGTGATAAAATTTTGAGTTTGAACAACTATACTTCCTCCGGTCCATGAACATTTTACTTTTTTATTTTAGTCCAAAATAAATGTTTATTTATATAATTAAAAACAAATTTAATTTATTTTTTTAAAATTACCTTTGTGTACGTATGCCTAAAAAGTCATTTACTCCTCACATTTGAGAAAAGTAATAAATGCTATTATAACTATGGTGCAATATTTAATAAAGTATAGTTTAGTCACACTAACTGTTTTCGTCTATAATTTAATATTTCCTTAATGGGTGTGCCCAAATCAAATTGGTCACTTATTGTGGACCGGAGGTAGTATCTTAACAAGTGAAGTCTGTAATACATAACATTAAAATATATTTCTGATGAAAAAGAAGAAAAAATGGCTAAATAAAAGTAATCCAAATTTACCAAAAAGTACATTCAACTTCCCAAATTTCTAAGCAATAGACACTTTTGCACCAGCTTCTTCAAGCTGTTTCTTAGCTTCCTCAGCTTCATCCTTAGAAATTCCTTCCTTAAACTTCTTCGGCAAGCCTTCAATCAACTCCTTAGCTTCTTTTAAAGCCAAATTAGTTAAAGTCCTGACAGCTTTAATCGCAGCGATTCTCGCGTTACTCGGCACTTCCTCAATGATAACGTCAAATTCCGTCTTCTCCTCAACAACCGCCGGAGCTTCGGCGGCGGCGGGTGCAGCGGAGACGGCGGCAGGAGCGAAGGATGCGGCTGTAACACCGAGCTTGTCTTGAAGGTACTCGACAAGTTTCTGCGCGTCAGCTAGTGTTAAATTGGAGATTTCATCTCCGAGTCCGACTACCTTCTCCGGTGCTTCAACGGCGGCGAGTGGACGGAGGGAAGTGAGTCGACGGTGGTGGTGGAGTTTGGGTGAAGGAATTGTGAATTTTAGGATTTGTTTGGGGAAGGAGATTGAGGCGTGTGGAGAATTGGGGGTAGGGTGTGACGGCGCGGAGAGGGTAATGGTGGATAACGTCGACGCCATTGCAATTTGCAAGGGAATGGAGGAGGAGAAGAAAGCAGGATAAGGGAAGGCAGCTTTCAGTTGATAAGGTAGTACAGTTACGATTGCGCTTTATTTTAGTCTACCTATTTATTCAAGAAAATGATCCTTCAAGAAAAATAAGAAAAGCCGGTGAAATATGGAAACTTATTTTTATTCTTTTTAATTTATTAAGTTCTGTAAATACAACCTTTTGTTTGCAAATTTGGGTGTTTTTAATACGATGGATGTCCATTTTTATGAAATATAATTTTTCAAAAAATGCTTTCATTGGTGAGCTCAAAATAATTTTTTTAGAGAAAATATATATAAAATTAATAATAATAGTAATAAATTAGAAGTATGTTGATGAAACTTGTTAGCAATAAGATTAACAGTAATGCCTGCAAGGGTTGGCTAAGCTGGTTGGGTGAGTGGTTTCCAACATGGAAGTATAGACATTTAAAATTCGAAAAAGGGTCTGATATGTCCCTCTACTATTACAAATTATTTAAAGTTGTCCCCCGTTATACTATCGGACCATAAAATTTCTTACCGTCTTACTATCCGCATACATTTATCCTTAAGTGGACGGAGAGGACACGTGGCACTGATACGTGCATTTTTTACATCTGGTATCATTAGACTCGACCAGATCCATATTACCCGACAAACCCGTAAAAACCAACAAGCAAATCCGAGAATTTCAGTGAAATCTGGCGAGGTTCTATTTTCCAGCGAAGTTCAAAAAATACGAAACCTTTGATTTTTTAGATCCAATAAATAGGAAAGAAGAAAAAGCAAATAAGTAGAAGAAAATGAAGGAAGGGGGTAGAGCAGTGGTGTTTTTTTTATTTTTTTGAAAAAGATAATAAAAGTAAGGTAGTGGTGTTTTGGCCAAGATCTGTAGTAGATCTCGTTGGTTTTCATAGTGGTTATAAAATGAAGAAGGAAAACAGTGAGAGAGAGTTGAGATAGACAGTGGTGTTGGCTTTGTGAATTTTCTGGAGAGGGGGGCAGTACAATGGAGGTTAGTACTACCGGAGGAATTTTCCGGTGAGTTGCCATGTTTTTCGGTGGTTTTGATGTGAGGTGAGAGAAGAGAAGATTAATCATTTTTTGAGTTATATTTTACGGGTTTGGGTATCGGGTAATATGGTATTGGGTCGAGTCTAATGATACTAGATGTAAAAAAGGTACGGATGAGTGCCACGTGTCCCCTCCGTCCAACTAAGGATAAATGTGTGCGGATAGTAAGACGGTAAGGAGTTTTATGGTCCGATAGTATAACGAGGGACAGCTTTAAACAATTTGCAATAGTAGAGGGACATATCAGACCCTTTTCCGTTTAAAATTTATTGAATTTAGAATTCATAAACTAAATTCGGACTATTTTTGGAATTCAAGATATATTAGTATAAATAAATTTATTGGGCTAATATAATTGGATTAGCGTATAAGTTCAATATGTGTGGTTTAATAAATAAATCCAAATTTATTGGCTAACCCATTTAATTGGGCTGCAAATAATGAGCCCACTTCATTAAGCCCAAGATATCATTTTCCTAGCGGCCTAGTTGGGTGCAATGTGTCTAGTGATGTGGCACACCAAGTCAAACGGAAGAGCCAATAGGATCATGCCATGTGTCAAAATAAGGCGTGCCAAGTCAAATTCCAGTGAAATTGCGCCACATGTGCAAGTGACATGTTCTAGCCAATCAAATGTGGCCTCGTCACGCTTCAATTTGATTGGTCAGAAAGAGTTTGTTCTCATCATAACTTTTCTCTTCCACAACTATATATAGGGGTCTTCGTAACTCAGAAAAGACACCAGAAGTTATAACAAGAAGAAAAAGAGAGCTCGTGGATCAAACGCCGTAAATTTCTCTACAAGTTTCAAAGCTTCAAGCAATCAAGTTCAAGTTCAAGAAATCAAGCTCAAGCTCAAGCTCAAGAACGAAGAACAAATCAAGGTTCAAGGAGTATGAGTTCAAATCAAAGTTCGTGCTAGTTGAATTCAAGATCATCGTTCGAGGCAACAAATTTAGAGTCAAGATCAAGCTCAAAGGCCTTGAATTTACTTACTATTGGCAAGATGAATCAGAGGATTCTTAGATATTGTACACTCGTGATATTTGAGGTCTCGATTATTTTCTTGATGCAAATTTATTGTGTACAAATTTTGGCATGCCCAGTGCGACCATTTCTACGTCTCATCGCAACTTTTAAATCACCAAAGTTCAAGAACATCGAAATGGCTTCAAAGAAAATCAACTCCAGATCAACCTCCACCAAGGCTGCTAATTTCAGGTTCTATGCTGATATGGAAAGCATCCTCGATGTTACCTTTAGAAGCTTTGGACCAGTTACAAAGTGCAAAGCAAGCTCTCTAGGACAACAAGAAATCCAAGTGCCGTCTGCATCAACTCATGTTTTCGGATCTTCATCCTCAAAAGGAGCACGATCCTCTACAAACACACATGAAGGAAGCGATGTTGCTGAAAAGTTTAAGAAAACTCTAGCTCTGCTTAACCTCTCCGAATCCAGGAACTTTGCTGTGAAGGAAGATGATGTAGACATGTAATTTTTGACCCTCCCCAAAATTTTACACATTTTAGCGTTTAAATATTTAGTTTAGGTCTAATATCGCTATTTTAACTAGTTTTGACTCTTTTACTTCATTTCATCACAAAAATAAAAATTACAAAAATATTTTCTTTTATTTAGCTAATTGATATTTTATCAAGTTACTTTTAGTTTATCTACCTTTCATAAAATTAAAAAAATACAAAAATAGTTCCACTTTATTTTCAAGAATATTAGTATTTTTGGTAGGAATATTATTTTAATTTTGCGATGATTTTAATCTAATCCCATTTTTATTTTTAGTATGATATTTGAAAAATATCAAAAATAGGTTTGTTTTAACGGTTAGTTTTATTTTAATAGTTATTTCTACTTAAGTAGGATTAATTATTATATATGAGTAGTATTTTTAGTCTTGTTCAATGAGAAAGAGTTAAATTTGGGCTAAAATAATCCATTCTTTAGGTCCATTTTCGGAATTAAGCCCTTAGCCTACCCCCACTTCCCTAAAAAGAGACCTAAACCTAAAAAAAACAGGAGAACCCCTAAGCTTCAGCCGCAACAAACTGAAGAAAAGAGGCCAGCGAGACCACTCTTCTCATTTTTTCCATCTCTGCAATCTTCCAAGACTCCTAAAAGCCGCCGGACCCTCTCATCACCCCACCCCCTTCACCTTAATTCCAGCAGCAACCTGCAAAGAAAGAGAGACGGTGAGAAATAGAGGGAAACGGGGGAAGGGAATTTAAAAGAAACAAAAAGAGAAAAAGAGGGGAACGATGGGAAAGGGATTGAAAATGAAACAGAAAGATTCAAAGTTATCTGTTGGTTTCTGCAACTGGAATGAGTAATTGAAGTTACCTATATTCTTTTGAATGATTGGCCTTGCAATGCCCTTTGCATAATCACTCGTGGCAGCTGCTAAATTGAGTCTGTTTGCGGCTCCGTTTTGAGTTCGCCAACTCTGTTTGGTTTCTGCTTGGAAGCCCATGTACGCTTATAAAAGCTTCGAAGGAAATCTGATTCTGCTATTCTTAGGTCCCTTCTTAACAGATCTTTTAATTTAAGTAGCTTTCATTCTAATTATATTTCAAATCTTGCTTTAATTGATCTTTGTGGCTAATTTGTTGGCTGTGATTCGTTAGTAGAACGAGTACATGTATTGAAACTTGATCTAATCAGATCCTAAATTCTTGAATGAAGATTTGTGCGGCCTATAAGATCTGTTTATGGATTGGTTTTGGGAATTGGATTAAAACTTAAAAAGGGAATTTGCTATGATTTGGTTACTAGTAGAATCATTCTGTTTTGGTAACTAATTTAAACGTCCATGAATTGGGTTGGCATAACCTCGTGCAAGAAATCCAACTAAAAGTAGATGGCAGTGTGCTGGGGTAAAAGCAAAATAGATGTGACTTGGTACCAAAACTCAATAGAAGTCTAACATTATCATGTTTAGTATTTTATTTTACCTTTTTTTCAATATTTCGCTAGTAGCACGCTTAGCCGACCACACTCGGGTAGGCAAACTTTAGGATTTGCTTTTTCTTTTCTTTTATATGAGGTGAGAGGTCGCCCCCTTAGTTTATTCATCCGGGGAATGCCCTGAAGGATATGTAGATATTTTATTCTGGGGAATGCCCCGTAGTATTCTATAATTGGAGGCCGAAAGTAGAACTTGTAGTATTTTTGTTCTTATTTTTATTTTTATTTTCTTTTATTAGGCGGGGACGACCTCGAGCCTCTTTCGTGTTTATTTTCCTTTATGTGTTTTTTATCTCAATTTGAATGTTTTAAAAGCCAACTAGATCATGTACGCCACCGTTCTAGTTACGGGACTTGGGGAGTGCCTAACACCTTCTCCCCGAGTCAAATGAACCGACTTATCTAGAACTATGGTGCAAACTGGTTTAAGAGTCAACTCTGTTTTGAAAGGAAATTATTATTTTAAAAACAGTGACCTGGCACACCGAAATCAATGTCAGGTGGCGACTCTGGAAAGTCCTTCAAAATAAAATCTTTTGTCACTTTTCAAAATTGAAACCCTTTTTGAGCTTCAAAATCACTTTATTTATTTTAGAGGGGTTAGTAAAAAAGTAAAAAAAGGGGTGTGACAGCTCTGGCGACTCTGCTGGGGAATTGCAGGTTCGGGTTGATACTTGATCTTGTTGTCTTTTAGGATATTCGATTGAGGTGTTTGTTTTCTTTATTTGCTTTGTTTATTTGGTTTGTTTGTCTTATTTCCTGTTTTGTTGGTTATTTGTTTATCGCTTTTCCTTATGTTTTACCGTTTTATAACTGTCATCATGTGCATAACCATGGGTCTTCTTTCTGCAATAAGTCTTCCGGTGTACGTTTGAGCGTACACGGCCTTTTGTGAGTCACCCGTATCTTTAGGGGAGTGGCGTGGGAGTGTGGAGTGGGCGGATAGCTAGAGCAGCCGCCATCGACCACGTGCCGCCCCGAATTGCCTTGTCTAGTGAACCCCAAACTTAGGTCAGCTTTTAGGTCATGCTTATTTGCATCATGTCATTTACACT